TGTTCGGAGCAGCACTGGGCTGTCAACGCCCAGCAGGATCACTCCCAGGAAGCCCTGGCTGCTTCGCGCCGTCAAAGCGTGAGACAGCTCTGGCCCAAACCAGCTGTTGTCCCAGCAGATGCAGGCAGGACTGAACTCCAGGACACCCTGGTGGGCCGTTCTATTCCTGCCTCCTGCACACCTACTTCAAACCTCCGAATCGTTTGTTTTGTTCATAAAAAGGACCGCAAAGAAAATCTGCGAAATCCCGTCCTATGGACAATCCTTTGGGTCCATCTCCCTCGGTCGACTCCTGAACCGCTGTCTGGAGTCTGGGCCTGTCCTGCAGGGCTGTGGAAAACAGACTCGTCTCCACCAGCGCGTTCAGGGATTCAGTCTTTGCTGTGTCTTTGGCTACTCTTTTGGTTTTCACCTGCTCATGAATTAACAGTGTTTCAGAGGAGCCACACTTTGCCACGGAGGGCCTGCTCATTATTAAGGTGACTGGAATCGAGGCCACTCAGCCCCTGCAGCCTGCCTGGTAGTAAGCAGGTAATTAATCCCAAGACCTCACCCAGCTGTCTCTTGGAAGAAGCCAGGTTATTGGCCTCCACAACAAGGCTGGGCAGCTTGTCCCAGACTCCCAGAGCTCCTGGTGTTCGGAACTGCTTCCTGTTCTCGGTTTTAAATGCACTTTCTCGTTGTTTGCACGTTCACAAGCGCACGTGCTCGTGGCCTGACCACTCTTACTGCCTGCGGTCGCCCTGCTCTGCTCTGCTCTCTGAAGATGTGGAAACGGGTCTCGCTCTTGCCCTGCCGTGCTGTCCCGCTTTCTGGGGCGCACCCCCAGTGACCCCCCGTAAGGGCGTGGACAGATTGGCCCTGCGGCAGGGACCCCCTGTCGGCCCCCTGTGATCCGGCTCTGATCTCTCTCCATCTCTCCGCGCTGCAGGTGGAGTCGGCTGCCAAGGACATCTATGACCGGCTGTGTCATGACTTCGCTGTGAACCAGACCGCCCAGGTCAAGGAACACCTGGCTGCCATCCACTCTGCGGTGATCAGATAGCTGTCTCCCTCTCTCCCTGTCGGTCTGTCTCCCTCTCTCCCTGCCTGTCTCCCTGCCCGTCTGTCTCCCTCTCTCCCTGCCTGTCTCCCTGCCCGTCTGTCTCCCTCTCTCCCTGCCTGTCTCCCTGCCTGTCTGTCTCCCTCTCTCCCTGCCTGTCTCCCTGCCCGTCT